CCCTACGTGAATTTTTAAGTGTTCATAAAATCGCATGCATTTTTACATATGCACTTGTCATAGAAATATAGGCCGGTGGTACGTAGAAATAGATTCGATACATCTCGAGAGAGTATTAAATAGATTTAGGAACATTGATTCGTCACAATTAAAGTGTGTTGTCATATTGTGAAACTACAGTTTTAAAGTGATAATTGCTTGGGAAATCGTGATCCTAGTGTGTTTAATTTATATTGCTTACAACAAACGTAAGTTCTCAACATTTGATTTCATTCTAGAGTGTTAAAAAATATTGTTTTGCATATTTAATTTAAGTCAATCATAAAAATTGCATAATTAAGGCTTTCTTTCTAAAATTAGGGTTTTAATTAGGTTCACATCCACTTTAGTAATTTAGTTTCGGTTAAGGCGACGATCGGTAAAATTGAACTAATCAATCTCTGTGGGACGATATTTACACTCATTTAATCCACTTTATTACTTGTTAACGAACCGTACACTTGCGATAATTTTAAATCGAAAGAAATAATTTCGCGAACATGGTTCCCAAAATCAACAAGATAAGTGAGAAACTAAAATTGATCAACGATGAAGACGCTAGCCATAGAATTGAGATGATAATTATAGATTTGACTCCTCCTTAGCCCCTGATTACGGAAACTGACAGCATAGTTCCTGACACTGTGGTAGGAAAGCAAAATGATAAGCTGAAACTTGTGAATATGTTGATTAAACCTAGCAATGACGCTGTTTCTGTTATTCCTATAGTTGGAATGGGGGCTTGGAAAGACAACTTTAGCTCGTTTAATCTTCAGTCATCCTCACGTAGAAAGGCATTTCGATGGAAGGATTTGGACTGAATCGGAAAGTTTTTATGTGATGAGTCTTATCGAAAGGATTGAGAAAAGACAAGCACTTGTTCTTGTTCTTGATGATTTATGGAATGAGAATAGAGAACATTGGCCTTATCAAAATTAGCCTGGTGGAAATTATCCCGAATAAAGGAAGTACCAGTGTGGTCACCATGATTCTTTAAGTTGGTTACTTTTCTGACCTTCAATGGTCAAACTTTTTCATCTCATGTCTCTCGTGGAATGCCTCTCAAATTTACTTTATTCTAGGGTTGATTTTCGCATCATTCATTCCTTTATAGCTCAAGTTTAGTTGGATTTCACTAATTGAAGTAACTATGTCAATATGTGAGAATTCCCTTAAGTTTGTATGTTTCAATCTCCAAACTTCACAAAGGTTAATGACCCCACTTAGGGACTGTAATTCGGCTCGTCGGCTCGACCTGAGAAAAACCTGAACTGGCCCGACTAAACGCTCGGTACCAAGTCCCATTTTGGGAGGATGGGCCGAGCCCGAGCCAACCCAAGAGCCTTAGAAAAAACAAAATTGAAACGCAGCCTTTCAAAAAGGCAACACAATGCTGCCTTTTAAGGTAGCTTAAAAAAATAAAAATAAAAATAATTAAAAAAATCAAGTCTGCCCAGCTCGGCTCGAAAAGGCTAGAGCCAAAAACTCAAGTCGAGCCTAATTTTTTTGGCCGAGCCAACTCAGCTCGTTGACATCCAATCCCCCCTAGAGATATAAATTTCAAATTAAATATCCAAGACTTTAGCCAAACAAAAACAATACTTGTAGTTGTTTGGAATCACGCTGTACACTTTGAAAAGGTTTGGGACATCCAATGCAAATTTCCCTTGTTTTAACTATGATAATTGACATAATTTTTCCAACATACAACGATTCACAGTGATTAAGGTATTTTTGATAGAATGATCATAATAGTAATATTCATCTGGCAAAGTGATGATCACAAGCCTATATAACAACAGGGATATTGAAACATCATCCAATGAAATTGGAGTACAGTTTTATTTATTAAATAATATTATAATACACCATTATCACATAAATTGATCTTTTTTTTCCCCCTTTTTTTTTTTTTTTTTTTAGGTCTACCTCATGTAAGTTCTCGAGGAAATTATCTACAACGGGAAAAGTTCAAAAGAGAAAGTTAGCATTTCATGCAAGTCAAAACACTATATATATAACAAAAATGTCCTCAGTAAATAACATGTATGATACACTTTTCATACTTGCAATACTCAACCATATATATCTAGCAATAAACCAAACAGAACAATTCGAACGATGAAACCAATAATCAAAATAAAAGATTTATATATAACAAACTCAAAATCTGTTAAGGGAATGCCTGATTTGAATCTTAAAAGGTTGTATACCTTTGCTATCAAATAACATTGTTGACATTTCCATAAATGTACTATTTCTTAATAACCTAATTTTGGAAAGTTCAGTCCTCCAAAAATCTCCTGGTGACGTTGACCGGCTCAGCACAGGCTGCCTCTAAAGACACGACGTGCCCAGTTAGACATATCCTGCTCGTCCCACACGGATATTGAGGCGACTTCTCAGCACACGAGAGAGTATTGTTCTTGAAGAAATGCCAAATGAAAATGCAGAATACAACACAAAATCTATCTGTACAACTTTCCAAGCTACCATTCAACTTCACAAGGATTTTGTATGTAAAGAATACTAGCAATTTTTCCTTGTTTCATGATATCATCTTGGACCGGATAACTCAATGGCATGTAAATTTTCTGTGGAATCAACGATCCAATCGGAACTAGATTGTGGAACTAGTTCCACCTCCTGGCGGAGAACTTCCACCTTCTGCCATTCGTCCCACTTCTCAGCCAAGCCATCGCCTTCTAGCATTCGCATCACTTCTGACATCTTGGGCCGGTCCATCGGGGTACTCTGGGTACATAGAAGAGCAACCTGGATTAGCTGTTCGACTTCTGCCTCCACGAATTTTTTCTGCAAATCAGGATCAACCAGCATTTCCAATTTCTTCTCTTTTAGAAGCCCTCTCACCTGAACGTGAAGTAAAATAAAAAATTGGATTGCCGTCTCACTTCAGTGTAATTTGACCGACTCAATTTGCAAACCTTGACAAATTCATGGAGCATAAAGTACAATATGCTAAGCATCTTGATGGTAGGAGGAGTCTACAAATAAAGCTCATTTTATAAAGTGATCAACAAGGATTTCCCAAGCTCTTTTTAAGGTAAAAATCATTTTTGTTTCCAATTTAGCCATAATAATGGAGAAATAAGATAAGTGAGGGGGGAAGACTAATGAAGATATATTGAAAAGAACAAATACCCAGTCAAGCAGCATGACATCGTCATCATTTGCAAGGCGAGCTAGATCAAATGCCCTCTGCCCTGTTATTAGCTCGAGAAGCATAACTCCATAGCCAAAAACATCTGTCTTCTCAGAAGATTTTCCAGTAGACAAGTACTCGGGAGCTATGTGTCCAATGGTCCCTCGCACAGCAGTAGTAACATGCGTATCCTTATAATCCATAAGTCTAGCCAAACCAAAATCCCCAACAACAGCCTCAAAATCTTCATCAAGCAATATATTTGCAGCTTTCACATCACGATGAATAATCTTCGGATCACAGTGATCGTGCAAGTATGATAATCCTCTGGCAGATCCTAAAGCAATGCACTTCCGTGTCGGCCAATCAAGTGGAGGCTCATTTGGTGGACGTTCTACATATGTAAACAATTATAATTAGTATATGCTCGAGGTATAAGTTTATCTTCTGTTCCAGGCTAATGGCAGTAATTATTAAGAAAGAATCAAATGATTACAAAAACACGGGTAATCGGGACATTTACGCAAACAAATAGACTAAGCATTTTGGGCTAAGCTTAAAAGGTTTACAAGTAAATAAATCAGGGAAGCTTTAAAATAAATAATTTTTTATTGGTAAAAGTTGGAAATAAGTTAATTACTTATTTTGGAAATAAGGTAGAAGTTCCTTTTAAATAAATAACAATTTTTACTTAGCTCCTGTTTGTCATCCTTTAAAAATTTAACTTGATTGCTACAGTATCATTCTCCACCATACATTCATATAATAAAATATTCTACACATAAACTAATGAAGTTACCTTACTTTTTAACCATACATTCTCCAAATAATACTATTCAATAACTCATTATTCCCAAATAAATTCTATCAAACAGGCCCTTAGCCTTCGTATGGAAAATTTAGAAATACTTTATAAAGAGAAATAGTAAGAGGAATAGCAACGAGTCTCATGAAATGTGTGGATAATAATGAGTAATAGTTATGAATGTATAGTTGAAATTAATATTTGATTTTGATAGAATTTATAAACCATTTATAAATTGTTACCCATATGGAGGCTTAAAAGTAAATTATCCAAACATGTTGTGATTTGAAAGAGAATTTTTGTAAGCTTTAGCTTAGCCAGCTCATAGTCCGACATAATGGAAATAAAGTTGATATATTGGACTTCTAGCAGCATTATTGACTAGTATCACCTCTTAACCATGACGAGACACTTCCATTAGCCATATATGGATAAACAAGCAGGCGTTCGGTTGGAGTCATGCAAAAGCCACGCAGTCTAAGGAGATTACGATGCACTGCCAAGCTGATCATCTCTACTTCAGTTTGAAATTGAAGCTCCCCACCAGGTGTTCGTTCCTCCTTAAGTCTTTTTACAGCCACCAGTGTACCATCTGCTAATCGTCCTTTGTATACCTTCCCAAAGCCACCTCTTCCCAGAATATTTTTATTGCTAAAACTATCCGTTGCAACTTGCAACTCTCGAAGAGAGTACCTTTTAAGTTGCCCCAAGTGGACTTCAGGGTCCTCTTCAGCTGCAAAAGTGTACAGACAAGTTATCACGTGTTAAAGATTACATTTAAATAAATAAGTCGTCCCCTCTCTAATAGCTTAAACTTTTAGATAAAATGGTTTGACATGGTATAAGAGTAGGCTATGATTAAGTCAGCTGCAACCCATCTATGAAAATGTGCATGTGTGAAAAATGAATCTAGACTGCACCGTGAGGGAGCACGTCGAAGAATAAGTTAAAATAAATAATTTGTCCCCTCTCTAAAAGCTTTAATCCCCTCTCTAAAAGCTTTAACTTTCCATTTAAATGGACTTGGAAAGTCAAACTACTAACCTGGTACATCAAAGAAATATTCCCGCGGTTTTCTTCGACGCCAACATGCAAATGCAATGGCAGGGACTGCAAAGAGAAGAGCAGCACCAGCAGCAACTCCACCAGCAAGAGCTCCATTTGCACTATTTCCATCTGCAATTACAGCTATTAAATTTAGAAAGAAATCCAAGAAAATTCATACCGTCATCAATTACGTATATATAAAATTCAAACAAATAGCCTCTACGAAATACAATTTCAGCCAATTCAGAAGTCGTAGCAAAATGGAAGGGTAATCAAAACCAACTACTTCCATACTTCTAAAACGACACCAAAGGTACAAGACAGCCAAAATTTTCAAATTAAGTTTGAAAGACAAATTGTAGCAGTAAAGATAATCCAGTTATAATTCGAGAAATATATACTAATCAAACAAGTTAAATACGACAATTACCTGGCAAAGATATTGGGGGTGGTGGGACAAATGGAGGGGGTGGAGAGAACGGAGGAGAACCAGGGCAAGGACGTCCGGTAACTGAACCACATAGGTCCAAGTTATTTGCAAAACTGTGGATAGAAAACACCATATATTACTGACTAATTTAAAATGATGATATTCTCCATTCAAAAGTATAGTCATGGCATGTATCAACAAGAACCTGATAGGGGTGAATAGAGAAAACGAGCCATTATCTGGAACAGCACCTGAAAGTTGATTGTTTGAGAGATCCCTGCACAAGAATGCAATTTGAACAATCAAAAGCTCTTCCAAGAATTTCAAGCAATTACATTTAAGACAGAGTTAAGCAGGAAGAGGCAAAAACTAAGCGGCAATTAGAATTATCAAATAATTGAGAAAAGCATAGAAACTTACAGCACTTGAAGCGTTGAGATATTAGTCAATGACACGGGAATTGTGCCCGTCAAGCTGTTGTTATTTAGCCGACTATCCTTACAGAGGCATCAAAATAGTACACAATAAGATTCATGCTCACCAACAAACAATATAACAATCAAACTGCCAGCATTCTTTAAGAAAAATAACACAAGAGTAACACGTTTGGTCCAATGCATCAGCACTAAACAGATAAAACTCTCAAATACTGTAGAATTCAACATTGCTCAACATGCGGGAGGTGGGGGGGGGGGGGGGGGGGGGGGGAGTATGTAAATGAAAGTTCAACAATTGGCACGTATAACGTGTTTGCCCATGTGATTTGCGTTACAAGACATGAATGCACATTGAACTGTATTATACATGCACATCAAGGAAAAAAAATCAATAACAGTTTGTTTATTTGCATAAACTTAGCAGATTCTGTCTCATGTTAATTATCAGCAGGTAAGTAGAAGACTTCTTTGGACCAACTAAAAGATTTTAATTATCAACAAACTGTATTATAAGTTGTAATTGGCATAAGTAAATAAAATTTTAACTTAAAAAGTGTCATTGGTAGCTAGTTCCTTTCAAGCGATTTTTTGAAAAGAGGAAATTTGAAGTAAAAAGATTCTTTCAGGGAAAAAGAATGAAACAATTCTTGAATTAAAATGAATAAGTTCACGCAGAATCTTTACAAAGAATGCCATACCAGGAAGTAGATTTATTCACCAATTCCTTGCAAATTTAAGAAACTTAAAAACCCTACCCATCTTTAAGCAAAGTTTCAACTTGATAACACAAAGCCAAGAACAATCCCCATCTCCACATTTTTTTTTTTTTGTCCTAAAAAATCGCTGTCAATAATATTCAGAAAAAATTGATTCATTTATTTTCTCCTTTTTCTTTTTTCCCCTATTTCTAGTACCATGTTTTTGATAAAGGAGTGGAAAACCATGAAAGAAAACCAGAATATTTCAGGAAAAATTTATCAATGAGATACCCATCTGGGACACTCACTTGGTGTGCAACATCGCAGAATATATCCCTGCATAAGCTCATGGAATTGCTTATTCTATTTGTCTCAGCCATCTATGTGCTGTTATATCGAGTAGCAAGTTCATCATAATCACAAAATGAGAGGATGAGGGTAGCTTGAGTGCCAGTTATGCAAGGCATATTGCTTCGTGATCCAATAAAAGGAAAAGAGGAATTAATCCACAATGCTTCTGCTATATCCTTGTTGCAACTTCCCTTCATGGACAACGACCATGTAGAAAAAACCAGGTTGGAATGCAGTCATTGGTACAGAGGCTTAATGGCTTATGCCAATAAGTGGGACAAGAGAAGTACATAAAGCTGTGGTGGAAGCCCGACTCAAGGTTGGGTATGGAGAATGCAAGGTGGTTTCTGATGGAGGCTGATGAAAACATTGTCTCTTAAAAGTCACATCAGCATAGAATAGCTTAATCAGTAAAAATGCATTTTTAACATGTTGCACGCCAAGACGATGTTAATGGCCGAAAAAGATACACGTCAACTGTTTCTGTCATCAACATAAGCAATTCCATTATTCCGTGAAAGGGGTTGGAAAAACAGTAGCTGACACAATAGTTAGTAAGTTGCAACAAAATGAAGTTGGTTAACCAACTTGAAATTTCACTTGAAGTAGGGTAACCTGCGGTGATTTTAACCCTTTACGAAGCTAATTAACTACCATTTCGTAGCCAAAGATGATAAAATTAGAGAGTACATATGTTCTTGCCTTCTAGAAACTAAACATAATTCATTTTGGGCAAGAAATACTCATAATTGATAACTGCCAAGCTCTCGACTCTCCTTTAGCCCCCTCTAAATCATGAGCGACAAACAACCTTTAGCACTAGGCATCCCTTGTACATGAAGATCTAAATATTATAAATTTGAATACTATAAAATACTTTCAACACCCCCAAGAATAACAAAGGAACTTAAATTATTGATTGTCTCAACTTCAAAGAATTTGGTATATTGTTTCCTTCAAGAAGTCAATGGTGAGGTCTTTTTCATAAGACTGGCTGCGCAAATGTGCAACCATCATTTTAAAAGATTAATTATCTCACAACCATAAACAACAATGAAAACAAAATTATGTAAGAAATAATCCTGTGTCACCTATATATGGTAAATTTTTCAACTATCAGCCACAGATTTGAACTTCCAACATAACCTAGGTAATGGAAGCATATAAATAGGAGAATGGCCTGCAAGCATGAGAAAAAGGAAAAAAAGAAAAAGATTTAAATATGCCATACAGGTACTGCAAATTCTTCAACAGGCCAAGTTGTGGAACCAGTTGTCCAGATAAAGCAGCATTCCCAAGATCACTGACAGGGAGATCCAATGCAAGAAAAAGTGTTCAGAAAGCAAATTGCAAATCAAAATTGAAAACTGTCACCTGTCATAAGAAAATCATGGTAGCAAATACTTACACTCTTATTACACTGTTATCATTGTTGCAAGTGACATGAAACCATGTGCAGGGGTTGACAAGAGTAGGATCCCAGCTCTGTAACACATTGTTAGGATCTTCTAAGTTTACCCTAAGGGTATGTAATGCATCTCCTGCCCATAAATGCGACACGAAAGTTTAGAGCCACAAGTAAGAATTAGAATTCCAGTTACTGTTATTGACAAACAACTGATTGCCATAAAAGCAAATGTAAAAGCCTACATATTAGAATAAATAAACATGTTTCCTATCTAACAACATAAGCTTTTAGTTGAGATAGCTCAACATAGTAACTGAGTAGACAAACATCCTAAGTTCTATTCATTTATGAAAATTGTGCACGTGCAAGGCCTTTAATAAATTACATGCTTTTAAATTATAGAAAGAAAAAAATAATAATAATAATAATAAAAGACGTGTTTCCTGCTATAGACACATAGCAATCTGTGAAAAAATATTTACTAAGGTAATTATTTTTCAATAAAGCTCAATCTTAAGATAATTAATGTAGATTTCAGCAAGAAACAGATAGAAAAAGAATGACAGACAATAAGAACTTTGATAGTAAATGGAGATAATCTGCAAACACGAGACAACAGCAATTTTGTGCAAGAAAAGTTTCCATTCTGTGCACATCATGCGAATGTACAGGAGGCACATGAAGTAAATCATCCCACAAAATGCATATAAACAAGATAATAGAAAGCCTGATCATGCATTTAA